TCGTCGGCTGTCTTGAGGGCAGCTTGGGCGTCTTCGGGGCCTCGTGGGACCGTCTTGGGCCCTCTCGGAACCTTCATTAGCCTGTCGTGACCTGCTTCGGGGCGGGCTCGGGCCGCCTCGGGAGCTCTGGACCCCCCCCGCAAACCCGTGTGGGCACCGATGGATGGATCAGGCAGCGGCCCGTCCCCCCCCCCACCCGGGCCTACTCCGAGATAGAGAATCATGTTCCCAGGAAGCTTTCCGGGAGCATGATTTACTCGGCTCTCTAAGAGGGGGGCCTCTGGGGGCTTACCGAGGGGCGCCTTTTGGCCTTGCCGGCAAGCATATTGGAAACATGGTTGGGGCGGTGGGCGGAAGCCCAAGGAATCATGTCCCCGAAAAGCTACGTGGGAAATACGATTTACCGAAGTGTCTTGGGGGCCCGCAGGGGGCTTCCCTGGGGCCCCCTTGGGGGCCTATCGGGGCTTCCAGGGGGCCTCTTGGGAGCCTCACGGGGCTTCTTGGGAGCCTCTTCATGGCCTCCTGGGGCGTCCTATAGGAGCCTCTCAGGTCGGAGACCTTGAACAGCCGCTCTCTTCGGGCCCTCTTGGGTCGCTCTTGGGGCTCTCTTGGGGCGCTCTCGAGGCCCTCTTGACTTATCTGGGGAGCCTCCTGGGCCGTCTCTGGGCTTTCTTGGGAGCCTCTTCGGCCGTCTTGGAGCGATCTGAAGGGCCTCTGACGCGGTCCGGGACTGTGGAGAAGCGGAACATGGAAGAGCGCAAGAATGTTTCAAAAACCATAAGAAAATGTATGATTTTCGGCTTCTGGGGCCCTGTGGAGGGGCCTCTGGAGGCGCTCTTGGGGCGTTTTGGCGGCGTCGTCGGCCGTCCTGAGGCCATCTTCGGCGTGTCCGGGGTCTCTGGGGGCTGTCTTTGGGCGCCCTGGGAACCCAAAAATCATGTTCCCGGAGGGGCTTCCGGGAACATGATTTCGAACGAAGCTCTCTTGGGCCTCCCTGAGGCCGTCTTGGGGGCCTCCTGGGCCGGCTTCGGGGCCTCTTGGGCCGTCTTGGGGGTTTCCGTGAGCCCCACGGCTTGGGCCCTCTTGGGTCTCACTTGGGCTGTGTTGGGGCTCCTTAGGGGCGTCTGGGGCACTGTGAAGACGAAGCAAGCGAGAATGCTGAAAATGTACGTTTGACGAAGGGAATGGGCGGATTCTTGCCTCCTGAAGGCCCTCTTGGGGCCCACTTCGGCCATCTTCAAGCCATCTCGGGCCCTCTGGGGCCTCGCTGAGGCTGTCTTATGGGCCTCTCGGGCGTCCTGGGAACCCGGAAATCATGTTCCCAGAGAGGCTTCCGGGAACATGATTTCGAACGAGGCTCTCTTGGGCCTCCCTGAGGCCGTCTTGGGGGCCTCCTGGGCCGGCTTCGGGGCCTCGGCCGTCTGGGGGCGATCCGTGAGCCCCACAGGACGACCCTTTCGGGCCGTCTTGGGCCCTCTTGGGTCTCTCTTGGGCTGTGTTAGGGCTCCTCGGGGGCGTCTGGGGCACTGCGAAGACAAAGCGAGCGAGTATGCTAAAAATATACGTTTTACGAAGGGAATGGGCCGATGTTTTCCTCTTGAAGGCTTTCTCGGCGCCCTCTTCGGCCATCTTCAAGCCATCTCGGGCCCTCTGGAGCCTCGCTGAGGCTGTCTTGTGGGCCTCTTGGGTGCCCTCGGAACCCGGCAATCATGTTCCTGGAGAGGCTTCCGAGAACATGACTTTGAACGAGGCCTTCTTGGGCCTCCCTGAGGCCGTCTTTGGGGCCTCCTGGGCCGGCTTTGGGGCCGTGAGCCCCACAGGCCGACCCTTTTGGGCCGTCTGGGGCCCTCTTGGGTCTATCTTGCGCTGTGTTGGGGCTCCGCGGGGGCGTCTGGGGCACTGTGAAGACGAAGCCAGCGAGTGTGCTTAAAATGTACGTTTTACGATGGGAATAGGCCGATGTTTGCCTCTTGAAGGCCCTCTTGGGGCCCTCGGCGGCCATATTCAAGCCATCACGGGCCCTCTTGGGGCGCTCTTGGGCGTCTACGGGGCCTCTTGAGGCCTTCTTGACCATCTGTACGGCCCGCATGGCCTGTCGTGGGCAATTTGGAAGCGGCCCGGGGCAGTCCCGGGGGGTCTGTGACCCCCCAAAGGTTCGGGGGGCGCCCATGGGGGATGATGGCACCGGTTTTGCCCCCCCCCCCGGCCTACTCCGATATATACAGATACATCGATATATAGACCTATATATATATATATATATATATATATATATAGGTATACGTGTATGTATATATACACAGATGTATAGTTACGTATATACAGGCAAACAAACAAACACCCAAACGTACATACATACATACCTACATACATACATGCATACATACATACGTACATGCATACATGCATACATGCATACATCCATACATAATCATTGACATACGCACACTCACAGACAAACACCTACAAGTGCATATCCACCTACACATACACATACACATACACATACACAGGCACATACACATACGCATATACGTATACATACCTACATAACATATACATAAAAATACACATACACATACACAGTTACATGTACATATACACATACGTATGCATATAGACATCTACATATACGTGTACATACACATGGACAGGCACATATACATATACGCACAATATAGTGTAACATGTGTGTACATCTACATACGCACACACATATACATGTACACGTACACATACACGTACACGCATACATACATTTACATACACATGGCCATACACATATACCTATGTATATACATATGCATATACACATACATATACGTATACACATGCATTGGCATATGTGTATCTATATATGTATGTATATACAACTATACATATTACACCATAGAAAACCAAATCAGTGGATTGTTGAATCTCGCAGAGGCCTCAATCGGCCTTCCCCCCACCCTAGTTCAATTCGAATATGCGTTCTAGTCCAGTCTAATAATTGTGTGTTCATCTCTATCTTTCTTTCTATTGTTCACTCTATCTCTATGTTGATGTCTCTCTTTCTCTATATCTCTCTCCCTCTATGCACCACCTCTATATGCTCCTGTGTGCATATACAAACATACATACATACATGCACACATACACACATACATACACATACATACACATACATACAGGCACTTTCTCTTCACTTCTCTTTCTCTCTTTCCTCCGCCTCTCATTATGTATTTACCATCGTTGTTCGGTCATCTTTCCTTCTCTCGGTCTCCCCCTCTCTATATCTCGGATCTGTGTATCGGAAGTTGGGGGGTGAGATCGCAGTGAAATGGAGACCCCCCCCGCCGGAAAATCGGGTTCGGATTCACGTTCGTGCCGCGCGTGCTGGCGAGGCGAAGCTGCGTGGGCGGGCGAGAAGAATAAACCCGCGCCGTTGCCAGGGCAAAGCCGAACCAAGCGTTGCTGTCTCCCAGGTTGGCCAGCAATGGCCCTGTGATGTGCCGATGTTGTCCGGATGAGGCCCCCAAGAGGGCCCCAAGAAGCCCAAGAGGGCCCCAGGGGTCCCCAAGACGGCCCAAGACAGCCCAAGAGGAGGAATGCGAATGTATATTTCGAGCATTTCCCCCCAAGATGGCCCCAAGAGGCCCTCAGAGGCCCCCGAGGCGGGCCAAGAGGCCTCTACGTCCCCAAGGGGCTCCCAAGAGGCCCCCAAGAGGCCCCAAAAAGCTTCCCAACTGCACCCAAGAGCCCTCCAAGAGGCCCCTGAGAGGCATCCAAGAATTCGTCCATGAGGCTCCTGACCCACAGCCTGGGCACGATGGCGGGGTGGGCCGAAGACCACTCGATAACTTCCACGATCGCCGCAAACTCTGACTCCTCCTGGAGGTCCCGCAAAGGCACAAACCACTTGAATAAGTATCGATACCGCTACTCCCCAGACCTTTCCCAGGGTGAGCTCTGACCAAGACTTCGAGGCGAATCCCGCGACGACGGAAGGGCAGCGATATCGGCATTTCCTTCTCCTCCTCCTCCTCCTCCTCCTCCTCCTCCTCCTCCTCCTGGCCCTTGCTCCTCTCCTGGCGATCACTTCGCAGCGGGGGGGGCCCGAGGGAAACGGGTCCTGGACGCCTGGGACCTTCCCCCGGGACGAGATCTCTCCACCCCGAGGCGCCTTCCGACGGCCCCGGGCCCCGCAGAGAGCCCCGAGAGCGCCCGCGAACGGCGACGAGCCTCAGGACCCGCCCCCCTCACGAGGCCCGCTTCCCCCAGGGTTGGGTCGGGCATGTTAAAACGACGCGAAGATCGGGAAAAAATCGGATCGGGATAACTCGAAATCTCTGAGAATCGGCGGGTTTGGAGGATGTATTGGGCGCCGCGGCCGCTCCAGAGCGTCCCGGAACGCTCTGAGAGCGCTCCGGAACGCTCTGGAGCGATTTATCCCGATCCTAGCCCTGTTTTACATGTCCTCCTGCAGGCGGACCTTGGAAGAGAAATGAAAAAGATTCACACAAAGCTTCAAAAGTGATCAAAAATGGTCGAAAAATCGCCCCCGTGTTGAACTGTCCTCCTGTAGAGGGGCGTGCCCGACGTAACCCCAGGGCGAGATCACCATCAAGACCAGCTTCGACCGTGGCCCGGCCGGGCGAAGCCCCCCGCTCCCCTGGGGACACCCAGAAAAGCACCGGTACCGCTGCCCCCCGGACCTGCCCCGGGGTGCGTTCTGACCAGGATCTCGAGGCCAGTCCAGCGGTGGCGACGGGGGCCTCCCAGGAGGCCCAGAGATGCGAGAGCGGCCGGACCTCCCCTGGGGCGCGTTCTGACCAGGATCTCGAGGCCAGTCCGGCGGTGGCGACGAGGGCCTCCCAGGAGGCCCAGAGGTGCGGGAGCGGCCGAAGGGCAGCGGCACGGGCACCTCCTCCTCCTCCTCCTCCTCCTCCTCCTCCTCCTCCTCCTCCTCCTCCTCCTCCTCCTCCTCCTCCTCCTCCTCCCCCTCCTCCCCCGCGCTCCTCGATCGAGTAGGCGGCGTCGCCCAGGGTGGAGTCCAGGAAGGCGTCGGCGCAGCTCTCGGCCAGCGGCACGCCCGCGTCCTGCCGGCGCGCCCGCGGGCGCGCCCGAGGGCGCGCCCCGGGGCACTGGCCATCGCTCGGGCGTCTATTCCCTGTGCTTTTCGTCGGTTTCGTGCGTGGCTTTTTCGCCGTAGGATCAAGGATGCTCCTCGATGGTCCTCGCCGAAGGAAAAATGCTTTTTTGTCGGTGTCGTGCGTGGCTTTTTCGCCATATAAGCAAGGGTGCTCCTCGATGGTCCTCGCAGAAGGAAAAAGGCACACGTCCGAGCGATGCCCAGGGCAGAGCGGCGGCGAGGGTGCGCGGACGAGTGGCGCGCGCGCCGCCGCCGCCGCCGCCTCCCCGGCAGGCTCGCGCCGCGCTCAGGTCGGACATGTCCTCCCACAGGCGGAGCTTGGACGAAGAATACCAACATACTCCACGAATGTTCAAAAGTGGTTACGAGCAGTCCAAAAAAATCGTCCCCACACGCTTCTTATATTTTTGATTCGCTCCTCCCGTGGAGGGACCTGCCCTTAGCGTTTGCGCCCGAAGGCGCGCCCGGGGGCAGAGCGGCGGCGAGGGTGCGCTGCTGAATGGCGCGCGCGCAGCCGCCGCCGGCGCCGCCGGCGCCCCCACGGCAGGCTCACGCCACGCCGACGTCGGCGTCGGCTTCTCACGAGAGCGGCGCACGCGAAGGAGAGGAGGCCTCACAGATTACCAGCCTCGAGCGTATCCCTATCCCTAAGATTGACTCGCCAAAAGGCGATGACAGTCTCAGGGATTCGCCCTCAAAAAATAAGGGAATCCCTAAAATTGGCATCGTGATGAGGAGGTGCCCTGCATAATTAGGGATCACTAGGGATATGTTCCAGGCTGGTAAACAGAGGGGGTCCGAGCAGGTGGGGTCGGAAGAGCGCGCCGCACCGCCGAGGCATCGCCGCCGTCGGCGTGGCGAACATCGGGCTCCACACCGGGCCGCCATCGCCGATGCGTCGAGGAGGCGGCGCGATCCTCCGACCCCGCCTGCTCGGGCCCCATCTGGGAGGCCCGGATGCGCCGCACCATGCTTTTGGACTCCCTTTCGGCTGCGCTCCAGCGTGGCAAGGGGGCCAGACTTTGCGGCCCCGAGGGCCGAAGAGAGGTGCGCCGTACCACTGCGGGGTCGAGGATCTTGCAGCCTTCCCTGAGATCCGAGCGTCGCAGATTAAGCCGCGCTGGGCACCTTCGCGCAGTTTCTGCGCTCTGGGTTTCGCTCGAGTTGAGGACACTGGTCGCGATTCGACGTCGGATGATGTCAGAATTTAACGACTGCGGTTTTCCGATAGTTCGATTCGGGGAGACGTAAGACTCGGGTTCGGGGGAGTCGGGTTGGCCTGACGAGGCCATCATGAAAATGACGCGACCCGCTCTGAAATTTGACGCGAGCTCCCGCCGCAGACATCCCACGAAAACTGGACCGTCAAAATCCAGGACGCGCTCTCCAAAAACCGTCGGCAACCCCGAGCTCCGGCGCACTCGAGCCTTACGCTTCCCCGATCGATGTCGGCCGAGGCTGGACCACTGCCGGCGTTCAACGTTGAACGCCCGCGCTGGGGTCGCCGCCGCGCCGACACGACATTGGGGGAACGAAGAATGACATAGACATCAAAACTCGGAGGTCCGCGCGAATTCCCCGGATCCGCGCCGCCCCTGGCGCGCTCCGCGCGCCAGGGAGGGGGGCCCAGCGCCGATCCGAGAAATCCGCGCGGACCTCCGAGCTTTGATGTTTCTGTCTCTGTTCGTTACCCTAGACTCGTGGATGCCACGACAGTGGACACCCTAACAGTCCTACCATCGGAATAAAAACGTGTTTAAAATGTGTAAACATGTTCTAAACATGTTTCCAACATGTTCATGTCAGATTCCAAAACATGTTTGAAACATCTTCTGGACATCTGGAAAGTATTTGGCAACATGCTTCCTCTCCATGGCTCGTCCTCCACAACCCTGGGCTTGGAGCCTGCCGCAGGCCCGCGCCCGGCCGACCCCGGCCAGCAGGCCCGCCCGCGCGGGCCTGCGCGGCGGGAGGGGCCGCTGCCCGGGCGCGGCCCCGAGAGCCGACGTCGCGGAGCAAGGAGCACCACCGCGAGGGATCACGACCGTGAGGGGGAGGGGGAGGAGGAGGAGGAGGAGGGGGAGGAGGAGGGGGAGGAGGAGGAGGAGGAGGAGGAGGAGGAGGAGGAGGAGGAGGAGGAGGAGGAGGAGGAGGGAAGAACGCGACAGGCTCGTGCCTTACGTTGGTCTCACGTAAAAGGACGAGGAAGGAAGGATTTGTCCTCGAAGGCCTCCGAAGCAGAACAAAACCTGTAAACGTAGCTGCGTCGAGCCGCAGATGCACGCGAGGCGCCAGAGCCTCCATACCCGCAGTGGGAATGAGGCGCACGCTCGCAGGCGAGAAAGCGGTGCAGACAGGTGCCGCTGGTAGCAGCACGAACTTGGTCGAGGCTGGGCACGTAGTGCCCGACCCAGCAGCCACTGACTCCCCCGAGCTATAGTGGGGACCGAGGGAACGCCGAGTGCGGGAAGGGTCTCCTCTGCCACACGGTCCTGGAACACCTTCGCAACGAGCCGCCAGCTCGAAACACCGCTCGCTCGAGTAAGCGCCACACCAGAAACAGAACACCAGCGGCTCACACTGGGCGGTCTGACGGAAGGTGGTGCACAGGAGGTACATGGGAGATCGAACCGCTCCCAAACAGTCACTGTGCACCTCGCTGCGGCCTGTCACTAGATAACTCAGAGTGACGATGCCAAAATGGTCGCCCGACTGGGCCGTCTGGGCAGACCAGGCCAAACCGCCCCGAGGACCCTGGCACGGATTTCGCACACGTCCCCAGGGGCCAGGAAGACGGCCACATAAGCGGCCCTGTCCAGCTCGCGAAACACGCCATGTCTCGCTGAACCATCCACCGCAATCACGCTGTCGAGAGTGCGGGCAAAAAACTGCTCACTTGACAGTGGCTCGCCCTCAGGCCGTTGCAGGACGGGATCAGAGTCGAGGCAGAGAAGCGGCGGAGAGGGCTGAGCCACTATCAACCGAGACTGCAAAAGAAGCTTGGCTGGGTCGGTTGCGCGGGCTTGAACTACCTCCCCATCCGAGAATTGCTCTCTCCTGGCAACAGCAGCAGGCTCGGGGCTCTCGTCAAAGAACTGGCGATGCACCGGCGAGTCAGGTTGTCGGCACAACGGACAGAGACCACCATGTACATAGCAAAAGGACTGTAGTCTGTCTCCCGTTCAACATCCTCCCGGGAAAGAATATATATATATATATATACATACATGTGTACAAGACTGCAGTGGCGCTTCGCGCCATGCACCTTGGTCCTTGCAGTTTGGCATGCAGGCGGAATAGAAGGAAGGTCAAGCCGACCATTTAGCGATAACTTCTTGTTGCCTTTTCCGGCATCGCCGCTACAATAATGTTATTCGTTATCCTTCCTCCATGCTTCTGTTTCCTCATTTTCGCCATACCCTGCGCATTCTCCCCATCCTCCTCAGCTTTTTGTTTGCGGAGGTTCCTCCTTGGAGAGCCTCTGGGGGCCTCACAACAGTTGTTTCAAGCTTTCTGAAGGCCTTCTGGAGGCCTCCTGGGCGTATTCTGGGGGCCTCTGGGGGCTTCTTCGGGCCACCCTGCCTCCAACCGCGGTCTCCCTGAACGACCGGGTCACGATTTGGAATGCTTCGGAGGGTGTCTTGGGGCCATCTTGGGCCGCTATGGGGCTCTCTGAGGGCCATCTTGGACCTGTGTTGTGCCGTTTTGGGGCTCTCTTGGACTGCCTGGAAGCCCTTTCGGACCGAGATGGTTGTGGAGCGATTTGGGAGCCTCCCAGGCGGCTTTGGACGCCCAGAAGACCGCCGTCTTGGAGCGTCGGGACACCGAAAAGAGGAGAACCCCAAAATTCACCAAAAACCAACAGAAAATTAATGATTTGTGCCTCTTGGGGCCTTCTAGGGAATGCTCTTTGGAGGCCTCTTTGGGACCGTCCTGGAGGCCTCTTGGGCCATCTTGAGGTCACGTCGGTCACTCTTGGAGCGCTCTTGTGCTGTCTTGGGGGTCTCTGGGACGTCTCCGATGACCCCCCCTGATCGCCCTAGGTGTGCTGGGAAGGCTTGGCAAAACGCCCTGCGAGGCCCGGGGGGCCGCTTCGAGGCCCGTCCGGAGGGTCCCAAAGCCCCAAATCTCGGGAGTCCGGTTTTTTTTTGGGGGGGGGTCCCCCCGCCCGGGCTTGTTAAAATATAGAAAGAGGAATCGATATACATATATACACACACACATACATATACATACACATATAAGTGACACGCCTCCCGAGGAGTGATCCGCCTCGCTCTCAGCAAGCGTCGCAGCGGATCAGGCGAAACACGATGGGCATCAAGCTGTGACAGGGCCTGCGCCATGCGACGCTCATGGGATATCTGAATTCCTTCCTCCAAGAGCTTGCTGACCATGGCGGGGGAAGTGTACAACAAATCGATTACGTACCCCCCCCCCTCGTCGTGCCAGCATGTAAATCCCTGAGCTTTCCAACCTAGTCGACACAAGCTGAGTAGCATCCTATGCATGGGGCATCGCGAGGACTTCCAACCTGCAGACGTGACGTCGAGCTCCCGAGGCTCCACCGTGCCCCTCCAGATCTGGATGTGCTCCCGAAACGAAAGAGGCACTGGGCTGGGTAATCGAATGCCGAATGCTAGAGGCCCACTGGAGCGTTGGGGCCACCGACTGCTTCCACGCTGGGTCGCCGCGAAGGACAAGCTTCGCTGTGAGGGGCGCCCCGCGATGCGCAGGGCCACGGCCAGCTAGCAGGGCGCGCTGCATGGCCTTGAGCTCCGAGTCAGAGAGGCCGGGCACCACGGCTCCGTAGCCAGCTGCAGGTCGCACGCCTGCTACGGAAATCTTCGACATCCTGGACTTACCACTGGGAAGTTTACGACGCGAATGGGATAGGAGACGATGACGTGCACGCACAGCCTTTAGACGTTGACGCCGTTTCACGAATCCCCACTTGCATCCCCTCCTCTATCCCGGGGCCAGGTCCGCGCCCAGCGAGACGACGGCGCTGGAAGCCGCCGAAGGACAGGCTGTCTGCAGTCGCCGCACGAGTCTGCGAGCCAAGCCAGATGTCGAGGCAAAGGCGACAGCCTTGTCCCCCGCGAGGCGAACCTTCAGGCCCCGCTGAAGACGCCCTGAAAATCGTCACCTGCCCTCGCAAGTGCTGATACAATCTCGCCCTCCCCCCAATGCGCCACCACCGCGTCGCCATCGATTTGCGAGCCTAGGGAGACTCGGGGGTTCCTGAGGATGAATCTGTCGAGCGCAAACATAGCATAGGCCTTGACAAACCTATCGGTCAAAATGTCACGCGCTAGAAGCCCCGAGGTTGCATGGGGGACCATGTGGGAACAGTTGGGACCCAATCGTAGCATCCGAGGCCCACGCCACAAGTTGCAGGAGGCCTTGATGATGACCGTGGAAATCCCCCAGAACGCGGTTCGATCGCGGAGCCAAGCCAGACCAGGACAAACGACCCATCGTTATTCATCCCGTCCTAGATGAAACCTGCAGTAGCCATGCCCTGAGAAGAAGCCCGCTTCGCTTTCACACTTAGCTGCCAGAGGCCGCCTCCGAGCTCGCACCCTTCCCAAAAGATCAATAGGGCCGCTGAGCCCTATCCAGAAAATCATGAGCCAGGCCCCGACGCAGCCTCTCCCATGCGCCGTCGGGCGCGCCCATCGGCAAGATCGGACGCAGGCCGCCTCTAGGCTTCTCCAGAAGAGGCGCCAGCATCCACGGGAGCTGGGCCCGGAAGAGACCCATCCGCTCCACGGCCTCGCAGAGCATCGCCAGGTCCTCCAGCCCTTGGTCGCTCATGCGGGCGAAGTGGCGCGGGTGGAATAAATCCAGAGACTGCGACGTCGCACGACTGAACGACTGCGATGCCCATCTAAGTCATGACGGGGAGACTCGCGGAAAAAAACACGATTCGGAACCATGCAAAAGGTGGGCGTGAAATAGCATGCCAGAACTCCCCCAATTGCTGGTCTCCGGGATCAGGAGGCCGCTGGGGCCCGCAAAGCATGTACCAGGTGAGCTCAAAATAACCGTCGGGGCCCAGGTCTTCTCGGATGCGAGTGAATCCGCGCATCAGGCGCGCCGATCCCTGAAGAGCCTTCGTGGAGCACTCATACCAAAACCCCCGAGACGCCTTATCCCCACTGGATGTCCTCTAAGAACTGGCAAGCTCGCTCGCACCAGGCCTGCTCATCAGGTCGATCTGCGCGCCATGCCAGAGCGACGTGCAGGCAGGAAGAGAAAGTGCGGAGCCAAGCCACGAGCCGTCGCGGCAGCCTGGCCCGCGAGCGCGGAGGAGCTGCCCACCACCCGGGCAGGCAGCGCCCGCCTCCGACAGCCGGCGCCCGAGGGCACTCCACGAGGCCCGTTGGAAGTCTCCGCGTGGAATGCGAAACCTGCCTACACCCTGCGAAATGCTTAAGAAATCACAGGTTAAGAAATTCATAGTCTCAGAATTTAATTAAAAACCCAGAATTTCTATCAAAATCTGAGGAATTAAATTGAAACATTAAGAATAATCGAGACTCTGGCCGAAAACTTAAGTTTTCTTGGGCATCGCCTAAGGTGTACCTCTGCCTCGGTGCCCCGACCCGCGGCAAGGAGAAGGCACCCTAAGAGACGCAGGGGGCAGGCAGAGCAAACAGACGCAGCGCCCGCGACGACGCCGACGTCAGCGGCAGCGGCGGCGGCGAGCACCGGGCGGGCACCGGGCGGGCTGGCAGGCAGAGAGGCGCGCTGGCCGGCCCCATCCTGGGCAAGTCGCGACTGGCCCGCCGCGGCCCGCCCGCGCGCCTCTGCGCGGCCCGCCCGGCGCCTGGAGGGGAGAACGGCGTGCGAGAGCTTGATCTGGAGACGCCCTGCACGCCGGCCTGCGTTCTCCAATTACTATCGAGTTGCCATATAGCCATATAGTTGCTAATGAGTTGCCACGTTGGTTTTCTCTAGTTGCCAATCGTTTCTTGCCCAGAAATAACACATGACTCAACTTGAAACTTGAATCTTGAATGGGAACGATTGGCAACTTAGAGAAAACAGACATAGTAACTAGCTCGCAACTATATGGCAATTGAATAGCACGGGAGGAAAACAGCAAAACGCAAAAACAAAAAAAACAACTACCACCAAAAAGCAGGCCCAGCGGGCCCCGCGCGATCCTGGAGCAGCGCCGCCGCGAGGGCGCCGCGGCAAGGCGAGCGGGGAGGGCGCGCCGGCGCCCCGGGCGGGCCCCGCCCACGAAGCCCCCGGGCCCCAGCAAGTCAGCTTCGGCACCCAGCGGGCGGGCGGCGGCATCGCGCGGAGCGCCTGCGCGCTGGGTTCCACGCCAAATCCTGACCAGAATGCACATGCCCGATGTCGGTGTGAAGAGGCATGCCCAGATCTCCATGCGTCGCAAACAAAAAATCAAGGCGGCCTTTCTCTGTGCGATGTAGGTCAAGCGTCCTTGGTCAACGGAAAAAGCTCACCACGAAAAGCGCTCCCAAGGGTGGGACGAGGAGACGAGGGGGGGCCCACGTTGCGAGCAAGTCACGACATCGGAGACCAGGGCTCGTGCCGCGATGTGGGGGGCCGTGCCCGCCCCATCATCCTTCGGGGAGAGGGGATGCAGCGAGGAAGGCCCCCTCCCTGCCCCTCCTCCTCCTCCTCCACCTCCTCCCGCTCCTCCTTCTTCTATTCCCCCTCTTCCTCCTCCTCTCGAACCCTCCTCCCCCATGCCACAGACCCATGAGCGAGAAAGGAAGTGGACAAGAACGACGACGACGACGACGACGACGACGACGCTGGCGCTGGCGCTGGCTTGCGCATCGACATCCACATCGACGGCGGCGACAAAGACGACGGCAACAAAAACCATGACGACGGCGACAACGGCGACGGCGACGTCGACGAAGACAACGACGACGACGACGACGACGACGACGACGACGACGGCGACGACGGCCGCGTGGACGGCGTCGACATCGGCGACGACGACGACGACGAGGACGACGACGACGAGGACGACGACGACGACGACGACGACGACGACGACGACGACGACGACGACGACACCATCGACGACCCAGGGCGGCGTCGAGCACGGACGGCAGCGAATAACATCGACGTCGACGGCGGACGACGTGGGCGCCGATGGCATCGACACCGTCTGCGACGGCGACGCCTCGACGCCGACGCCGACGACAACGGCGCCGACCGCGGCGCCGACGAACATCGGTGTCGCAGGGGGCGACAGCGCCAAAGACGGCGGAGTCCAAGACACCGACGACGTCGACGTCGACGTCGACGTCGACGACGACAGACGACGACGGCGGACGACGACGACTACGACGACTACGACGACAACGACGGCGGACGACGACGACGACGACGACGACGACGACGACGACGACGACGACGACGACGGCGGACGACGACGACGACGGCGGACGACGACGACGACGACGACGACGACGACGACGAGGACCACGACCACGAGCACGACCACGAGCATGACCGCGACGTCGACGGCCACGACGGCAGCGGCGGCGCCGCCGCTGGACGTCCTGTGGCCATCGGCCCATGGCGAACTCGAGGCGCAGGACGCCGCCCTCGGCGTGGCCCGCGGCACGGTGCGCGCCCACCTCCAGGCTGGACAGCCGCGGGACCCGGAAGAGCTGGGAGGCGTTTTGCTCCGTCCCCGACAGCGGCGGGGCCGGGGCTCAGCAGGGCCCGGGTCGCTGTTACCGTTGTGATCGCCGTGATCGTGATCGTCATCGTTGATCTTTGATCGTTGTGGTCGTTGTCGTTGAGATCGGTATCGTTCTCGTTGTCGTGATCATGGGTTGTGGATCGTTGTCGTTGTGATCGCTGTCGTTGTGATCGTTGTCGCTGTGATCGACGTCGTTGTCGTTAGCGTTGTCGGTGCGTGCTGGGGACGGCAGCCAATGAGGGCCAGCACAGCTATACGCCGAGGCGTGCGGGCCTTCGCCCAGAGCATCGCGTGCGCACGTTCTGCTCCGGGGCCCTCGCTGCAAACTGAACGGGGTTCCTGGCCCGATCCGATCGTACCGAAGATGCCCTCGAGGCTCGAGGCTGGCTAGCTAAGTTCCCCAAACAGTGCGTGCACTTACACCGGACTCACTTTTATAGCGCTCACTTCTATAGTGCTCACTTTGAAATTGTGGTCTGGAAGGGGCCGCACATGCAGGCACATGCCGCACAGTCGCATGCACATGCCGCACAGTCCATCCAAGAAGGGCCGCATAGGCCTGGCACATGACTGGCCCATGCCGCGCACATGCGCGCACATGACAGCGCAAAAACGGCCGCACATACACCCACCCAGGGGTATAGATGTGAGTGCGGTGTAGGCAGTCTTGCTTGGCTTAGCCGTCTCGGGACCAGGGGCGGCGTTTGCTGGCGGTGCCACCCGTCGCCGTCCCTCGCCGCCGCTCGTCTCGGGACCAGGGGCGGCCGTCGCCGTCCGTGCCGCCTGGTGCCGCCCGTCGCCGCCCGTCGCCGTCGTCGCCGTCGTGCAGCCCGTCGCCGTCCGTCGCCGCCGCTCGTCTCCGGACCAGGGGCGGCCGTCGCCGTCCGTACCGCCCGTCGCCGCCCGTCGCAGTCGTCACCGTCGCCGCCGCTGCCATCGCCGTCGCCGCCGTCGCCGTCGCGGTCGCCGCCGCCGTCGCCCGTGCCTTGACGGGGAACCCGAACGGACATTTCGAGTCCTCGGCCCCGAGTAGCTCCCAGGAGACCGCAAGAGGTTCCCAAGAGGCCCCATGAAGACCACAAGAGGCCCCCAGGACACTCGAAAAGGCCCCCAAGATGCCCCCAAGAGGCTCCCAAGAGACCCCAAAATTCCTTCCTAAAGGTCCCCAGAGCCTTCCCAAGAGACCACAGGAAGCATCCCTGAGTACTCGGGCCCACGTCAGCGTCGTCGTCGCCGCCGCCGCCACCGCCGCCGTCGTCGTCGACATCCCCCTTCAAGGTCGGCGGCACCAGCCGCAAAGCCTTCGCAATCCTGGGAACAGTTGGAGGTAGCTCGGGGGCAGCGTTGTTTCCAGAGCCAAATCGCAATACTCTAGGCCAGCGCGCGTGATCCGTCAATAAGAATCCTTACGACTCCCATTCGCAAGGAGCTCGGATCTTAGGTTTGCTCTTGCCGACGATTGGGCTGCTCAGATCTGCTCCTCCCCTGCGCAGATTATCCCCTCCTCCGTCGCCCCAGAAACGCAACACCCGACAAGACAAATCTGGGGAAACCAAATGGCACCGATACCGCCACTCCCCGGACCTCTTCTGGGGCGCGTTCTGACCAGGACTTCGAGGCGAATCCGGCGGTGGCGACGAGGGCCTCCCAGGAGGCCCAAAAAGGCGAAAAAATGGGGTCCGAGAAGATGGGGTCAGAGGATCTCGCCGCATCGCCGATGCATCGCCGATGCATCGGCGATGCATCGGCGATGCACTGGCGACGTCGCCGATGTACCTGCGACGTCGGCGTGGAGAAAATCAGGCTCCACATCGACCCGCATCGGCGATGCATCGGCGATGCATCGGCGATCCTCCGACCCCATCTACGTCGACACCACTTGAGAGGCCTAGAGTATCCGTACCTCTTTATCCTCTGAAAATAAGTCATTGCACCAGCCTTGCAGACGTGCTTCAGTGGATTTCTGCGTGTTTTTTGCCCGAAGCGGCGAGCGAAACACGAAGCGAATTTCGCGTGGATTCTTTTTGGCCTTCATTCCTGATCAACAAAAAACGCACGAAATGCACCTCGAAATCCAGAGCCAAATTCTCCAGGACGCTCTGGGCCCATCCTGTTGTTTTCCGAACGAACTCCGCTCTGCGATGTAGGCGCCATGAAATCGGCAGTGAACAAACCTCCCTTTAGAAAACCTCCCTCTAGTGAAACCGGCCTAGGACCGAAACCGATGGACCTGGGCCCGCAGAAACGACGGCCGCGACGCCCTCGCGCAAACCAAAACCGGCCGATTCGCCAATCGACGTGTCAGGGTAGGAGGCCTATCAACCTCCGAACGAAAATCGGGGGCGCATCCTCGCCGGCGGGGCCGCAGTCCAGGAGGAAGGTGCAGCATCGCCGATGCAACGGCGATGCACGTCGGCGATCCACGTCAGCGATGCACATCGGCGATGCGTCGGCGATGCAGCGGCGGTCCTTCGACCCCATCTCCATCTACCACGACCCCATCTGAGAGGCCTCGAGTATCGACACCTCTTCCTCCTCTTTGGACGCCCGAAATGGGTACGGAGAGAATGGGTACAATGCCCAACAACAAATATTGTCCCAAACCAACAGCGGCCGCTGTTGGGCAGGCGGCCCCCTGTCTCGAATGGACACAGGCCGCGGCGGCTCGGACAGCGAGTCCTGTTCAAAATGAACAGGAACTGCTGTTGGGCATTGTACCCATTCTTTCGGTACCCATTTCGTTCATGCAGAATCGATACCTCTCCCTCCCCTGAAAATCGGGGGCGCGTCCTCGCCGGCGGCGCCGCAGTCCAGGAGGAAGACCCAGCCCGGTCCCAGCCGCCCGCGCGGCAGCGCCGCGCCCTCCCAGCAGCGCACCCGGGCCGAGCCGCCCAGCACCACGTCGCCGCCGCGGGCGGCGCCCTCGTCGGGCTCCTCGAGGGGCACCTCTCTCGCAGAGGGGCTCGGCGACCGAACGGCTGTGCTCCAGCTTTGAGAGATTCCCGCCGAAGAAGGCCCAGAGACCCTCGAGTCATGAAAAAAGCACGAGGGGAAGCTTCTCCATGTCTTCGGCTTCTGGGGGCCCCTTCCGGGCCTCGGGACCGTCGAAAAACGACTCGGGATGAAGAACCGGCCCCGGGGAAGGGGTGCAGACACCTGGGGGACGACGCCACGAAAAAATCATAACGTCGGGGGTCTGGGAACCGCGCAGCATGCTCGCAGACCTGCGGGACATCGCACGGCCGGTCCGTGTCGTGTCGGCTTCGGCCTCGGCCCCTTGGCACCGCGGGGACCGTTCGGCCTTGGACGGCCGGCCGCTTCCGAGACGTCAGCTCGTTCAGCATCGACCGACTCCGGGTGGCCGGCGGCGTTCAGCGTTGAACGCCGGCGGCGGGGTCGCCGCCGGTCGACACGACACGAACCTATCGTACGTATGTGTCTGCTTTAGGAGGCAACCACTGGGAGGCTCTCGTCGGAGAGATTAACTAAGAGGATTGAGCCACATCGGGGGGCTGCGTCCACAGGGGGGGCCCGCGGCCGAGGAGGCCAGGCCGCGCGATCCGCGGAGCGCGATGACTGCGGATGTGGAGCGTAGAAGGACATACAGAAGAGGGGCGTTGACCTAAGGAACCCTAAATAAGGAACGAGGCCCCTTTTTC